ACCCACCCCTTTCACTGCCCCACCAGGAGAGTGTGAGCACATGCAGCCAAGAAGCGTTAACTGGAACCGATGTTCACCCACCTGAGCCTCATCTACTAAATCAGGTGGTGTTTCAGACGTCCCTCCGCCACACACAACGTGGGAGGCCTCAGTGCTGCTTCAAATACATCACACCCACCCGAACTCCCTTGGTACGACCCACGGTGCTGTAATAAGGCACCAAGGGTCCCATGCTCCTCCAGCAGCCCCCGAACTTGAGCAGAGGTCTGTTTCCTTGGTGGAATTAAGGTACGCAAGTCTCAAAAAGCCTGTGTTCAGTTCTACAGATGGTGACCTGAAATGCGAAACATTGTTCCTCCCTGTCAAACACAATTTAGTCTTCCTTCCCTGTGATATCCCGGGTAATCCACACTGAAAGAGTATTTTAGCAAGAGTTATAGTTTGGATGCTGGAAGGTTCTAAAGTCAACAGAACTGTTTTTGCTGTATATTACATAAAATAAACACTCTGGTTCCAGGAACTCAAGGCAGCACACTGGGAACCACATTTGTTTTCCCCAAGATGCAGGAGTCGTGCAAACTGCCCTTGACCTGGCCACACCACACTCAAGTGTCTCTGGGGTTCCCCAAGGGCACAGGCAAAGGGCAGCCCTGAACTGGCAGTGCCAACACCTGGGATGACACCGCCTTCACTTACAAGGGCTGGGAAGGTGGGTGGTGTGTGTGCGCTCAAGGGGCAGACCTGTAGGCGGTCTCTGACCTCGAGCTACAGCTTTATTTAAGTGGCTAAACACAAAATTGTGTACAGGGCTGCTAAGGGCTTCCAAAGAACTGACGTTTCTTTTTTTAAATATTGACTTCCTTCTTGCAGTGTCATTGCCTTTGCTGGTGAAAGAGCACAGAGCGGGGACAGCCTGCAGCTGGTGCCCACCCTTCCTCAGGGCAAGAGCTGCCTTTCAATTCAGAATCCCCTCTGAGCCTGACCCAGTGCTGGGCACCCAGCACGGACCCCTCGTCCAGGCTCCTAGCACCTCTCTGCCGAGCACTCAAGACAGGTGGCCTCTGGAATCTGCCTGAGTGACTATTGGTTAACCTCCCTCCCCACCTTCAGCCTGGAAACGGAGCACAATCCCGCTCTGATTCACGGCTGTGCTCCCCAGAGCACAGCCTAGACAGGGCAGGTTCTCAGACACGGCAGAATGAATGAATGGTGGCTGGGACTTGCTGGAAAAGGGGTAGGTTTTAATCATGAAGAAGATGAGGCCTCCGCATCGAGGCAGTTAGAGAGCAGCAGAGGCCGTACACTGAGAAATGTTGTGGCTGTCTGCTAACATTCACCCCGGGTGCCAGGACACTCACGCTGTCGGGGGCACACATGTCTTCAGCACCCCTTGAGAGCCCCAGGCTTGAAGACTCCATTCTCTCACTTAATGCCACCCTGTGGGATGGAAAGTCCCGCCCCTGTCCACTGAACAGAAAACCAGGGCACAGCTGGTCTAAGGGACTTGCCTGAGGTCACACAGTGGCAGTAGAACCAGGGTCTGAGTCCAGGTCTTTTTGGCTGCAAAGGCCTGGTGCTGCCGGCAGGCACTGTGGAGGCCGGGACCTGCCTGGCCAGGAGACCCTCCTGGGAGGCCTCTCTGCCGCCCCAGAGGGACTTGTCCTTGGAATCAGAGGGAGGGAGGGCAGCAACTTGCTCCTCCCTCAGGAGGAAGCCACCATCTCCCACCAGAGAAGTGGTGGGGCCGCAGGCTCAGAAACCCCCAGGGGCCTCCCTCGGGGAGGCAGGGAGCCGAGGGGCTGGGAACAGAGCATGACCCAGAGCAGAGGGCACCGGACCAGGTGCCGAGGGAGAAGATGGGGGATGGGAGATGGGGGAGGATGGACAGTCCATCTCCTAACTAGGGGGTTGCACGCGCTTCAGGTATTCGGTATGGAGCCGAGAAGGGGGTGTTTTCCCTCCCCCCCAGGCTGTGGCTTAAACTGCGAAAAGCAACTTACTGAACCCCTTTGGAGCCCACCAGGGGCCCAGGTGTGCTAAGCCCAAGGGAAAGACACAAGAGAAGCTAAAGATAGGCTCTGCACCCAAAAATGGGCTCACACATTGTCTGGGGCAGGGCCTGGCCTGGTAGCCTCCACAGAGGAAACATGAAAAACAGGAAGTTCCACCAAAAGAACAGCCTCTCAAGCTCCCTCAGCCTCCCCAGCCTCCCTCAGCACTCCTTCCAGCCTTCTGGCTGGGTACCTACTACAACCCTACCCAGAACCCATATCTGCTCTGGACCCCATAGGACTTGGTACATGAGCCCAAATCTCTGCCTTGAGAATATCACCCTCATTCTAGAAACACAGGCACAGCAGAAATTTAAATTCCACACTTGACAGCGAGGATGCCCTTCACAGCCACATCCAGCATGTGAGTCTGAGAAGGGAAGGGGGACAGACACTGGGTGAGGAAGGCGAGAGAACATACAGCCAGGGCTCTTTCACACCCTACTGTCCCAACACAGCTCATCTTCACAGAAAGCTCACCTCCCTCAGCAGCCAGGGCACAGCGGCCAGGGCGGCAGCCACACGCATGTCTCTCTCTGCTGAAGAAGGGTGCCGCAGGTTCTCAGCTCGACTTCTGCCCTCCTTTGCTCATCCTTGCCCACCGGGAATTCCATTCCCTTCCACACTGAAGACCTGGAAATGCTATTTGATGGCTGCATCAAGCTACAGCTGCCTTACTGTGCCAAGCAGGGATCAAACAGTCCCCTCTGGCCACATCCATGGAGAGAAAGTGACTGCTAGAAGACAGCCAGTGACTGAATCACCGGGGTGGACTACAGGTGGGGTTGCCCTGAAATAGGCCAGATTCCCAAATGGGCCAGCTACCCAAGCCCAGAGTATATGTACACATACACATACCAAGAGACAGACACACACCTCCTCCAGGAAGCCTTCTCAGATTGCTCCAGCCCTATTGCAGGGCTCCAAATGACTCCTTTTATACGTACAACAGCAGTCAGTCTCCTAGTGTGATCTGGGGGGCCCAAATCAGTAGAAGGGGCTCAGGGAATGTTATGGACTGAATTGTGCCTACCCCCCAAATTTGTATGTTGCAGCCTTAACTCTCAGTGTGACTGCATTTGGAGACAGGACCTTTAGGAAGGTAACTAAGGTTAAATGCGGCCATAACGGTGGGAAACCTGAGGGCTGGTGTCCTCATAAGAAGATGAAGAGACACCAGAGATGGTTCGCTCTCTCTGTGCACATAGAGGAAAGAAAGGCCATGAGAGGACACGGGGAGAAGGCAGCCATCTATAACCGAGGAAGAGAGGCCTCACCAGAAACCCACACTGTCGGTACCCTGACCTGGGACTTCCGGCTTCCAGAACCGTGAGAAAATAAATCTCTGTTGTTTAAGCCACCCAGCCTGAACAGACTGATACAAGGTGTATGAGCAAAAGAGCAAGGTTCGAGGCTCCACTCTGCCATTCGCAAGCTCAGTGATCGCTGACAAATCACTCGGCCTCAGTTTCCTGATCTGTAAAATGGGGCTACTAACTCTCTCTGCCCTGCCTGCCTCCCTGAGAGGCCTGTGGAGGCCATGAGAAGGCAGCCAGGTGCTGGGTAGGAAGTCCCGGGCTGGGGCATGAGACGGACATGAGTTCAATCCAGGCCCCACCACTCACCCCCTGGGTAACCCCCGACAAATCACATGATCAGAGCAGCTGCTGTGGGCAGAGCGTCTGTTACGTGGCAGCGCAATCTGTTGCCTCAGCTGAGCAATGGGGATGAGGATCCTGCTGCTCATGGGAGTGACAGCCAGATGCTAACGTGGGCACAGCATCCGAGCCAGGACCAGCCATGCCTGCTGGGCAGCCATCCCGGAACGCTGCCTCCCAGCCCTCGCCACCCCTGGCCCAGGGACACTCACTGGTGCTCCAGGAACTGGGGCAAGCTGGTCCTTTGCTCCCTCTCCACTACACAATGGGGGAAATCAGCTGGGGCCTTGGAAAGAAGGGGCCGAGCCATTCCAGGCCATCAGTGGCATCATCCAAGGCTCACATACTTTCCACACTGAGGCCTCTCCCACTGGGCCGTGACTGATGCAGCTACCCCAAGAGGACCGGAATCTGCTCAGCAGACACTGCCCGGCCCGGCTCGCAAGGCTGCCTCGACACCTTGTCCAAAATCCAGTCCCCAAGGGGCCAAGGGGGCCTAGTCAAGAAGCATGCCCCCCCACCAGCCCATCACCCTGTTGATGGTTGTGGCACTAAAGATGGAGAAGTTCTGATACACAAAGGGGACACAAGGTCACCACACAGCCACAAGGGCAGGCAGGGGCACGAGAGACGGGGAAGCAATGTGGGACCCTCACTTACATGGAAAGAAACGCATGCAGAGCTGCAAACAGGGAGGGGAGCGGCAGGGGGCACTGAGTCTGAGCTGTTATTGCTATCACTGAACGGATTTAGTCAGAATTTCCCTGGCACCTGAACGTAGGTCTCTGGAGGGCAGCCAAGCCGATGACAGTCCAGACTCTAATGCTTTCCCCAGAGGAGCAGGAATTCAGGAGGCAGAAGTAAGGTGTGCACCAGAATGGGACATTCCCCACCAGCGCTGGAGGGACCCTGTTAGCGGCCATGGCCTTTCCAACATCTCCCTGACCCCAAAGACCAACTCATACACTAGGATCCTCCCATGTGGTCCCTCAGCCTCCATCTTCCAGGGGACCGATCAGCAGATACAACAGAGCTCCCTCTGAAAGCACTTCCTCGTTGTGCTAAGATGGTCTCAGACTCCAGGGAATTTGCCCAGAGGGAGGGAACAGCTTCAGATGCAGTGGAAGGCCACGACCCACCTGGGTCTCCTATTTGTTGCTTTATCTTTGGAACATAAACAAGCTTTACCTGCATTTATGGTCAAGTTGGTCAGATCCTATTCCTTAGCCAGCCCTGCTCTGTCGTTTAACTAGGAGGAAAAAAACCATCACTTACAGATCACTTTCATTACCTTGGATAGGGCGAGGCATTTGGCATCACTTCACTCCGCCTGGACTCCAGGCTCTGGTTGGCCCCCAGCCCCTTTCACACGTCACTGGTTGTTAAGAAGGTTTCCTTCTCTAGCCTCGCCTCCCCCACGTGCTGTTTTCTGTGGGTGTGGAAGCTCCCTGTCCCGGGGCTAGGTCTTCTTTGACAATGCCATAGCGGTACATGAGACAGCCCAGCACTGAGCGGGGGCTGGCAGACCAAATTTTGGTAAAGCAAAGCCTTTCTCCTTTTGTCAGTTTTGAGAGGGGTTCCCACATGAGAAGACAAATCGCCCACAGACTGTGTTGAAAACTGCGGGAACAGGGATCAGTGGTGGCTTGGGCTGAGCCTGCTGGCACACAGAAGGGCTGTGGTCCCATTTTGTTGTTTTTTATCTTCAATAGTTCTCTCTCTTCCAAGCTCTTCCCTCTCGATGGTCCTGGGGCACAAATGGAAACAAGCCTGGCGTCAAAGGAGAGAGAAGGAGCTGGACAAACACAAAGGCTGTTGGAAGTTGAATTTAGGCAATCCTGAGAATAGACATCCAGGCATGCTTAAGGGCTGATCTGACTGGGCATCAGGAAAGTAGGCAAACAGGGCTCTACCTAGTCCAGGCGCAGAAATCAGACAGAATGCCAGAAACCAAGTAGGCATGAGCTGTGAACATGGTCTAAAGTCCAGGGCTCGGAGCCCCAAACCTAGGCATTGACAGCAGTGGAAGGAATAGAGCAGCACCCACTGGGAGAGCTCGGGCTGGCGCTGGCGTGGACGAGACACGACGCTCAGCTTTCCAGGCCCAACATGGTTTCCATGGGGCAGAAATCATCCTTAGCAGAGCCATTCTGGACCAGAAATTGTCAAATATGACTACATTCCCTGGAGAACTTTTTAAAAACATAAAATTCTGGGCCAAGAGACTCTGATTCTGTAAAGCCTTGGAACTCTTCATTTCTTAAAAGTTCCAAGGTGATCCTGATGTTAGTCTTGGCTCTAGGCTCTCTGATGGACCACAATTTTCCATCTACCTGAGGAAGAGGGTATATAGGCAATGGAATTGTGATTATGTCTTTTTTGAGTTGCCCTCTGCACCCTGAGAATTTCTGTTTTGTCTAACCCATTATAATGTCATAGGCTGCCTGGCATAATTTGCTCTTTTCTACATCCTTTTTAATCTGAACACAGCATTGATTCTCGCCAGTCCTTTACCCCATAGAGCTGGGTTGTAATATCCCTGCTGTTCACTAGGCGTTGCTATAACACAGGAGGAGCATGATCCTCAGCTTTGAAATTCTTCCAGATCAAGGTTCTCAGGCCTGCAGAATATATTAGTACCTTACTTTGTCAGTTCTCTGTATTTAAGTTTCTATCTTGGGTTATCTTAGAATGTAGGATAACTATAGAGCACCAATTGTTTCTCAGAGCTCAGGAACTGCTATTTCACAAGGATTGTCTTTCAAGTCTCACTGTTTCTCTTCTTTCCCCCTCTTTATGGACTCAGGACATCTTTACAGCTCTAGAAATGATGAAGGACTCCAAACAGCTTTTGTTTATGTGGGTTATATCTATTAATATTTTCCACATTAGAAAATAAAACTGAGAAAAATTTAAAACACAAGAATACCCAAGCATACATTCTGTGAACTGTCAGAGTGGTGATGTCACCACATGTCAAGTAGGCTCTAGAAAACTCTACTGTACACTCATGAGAGAAGTAAGAGTGAAAGGGCAAAAATTATTATTATCAGTTATTCTGTATCATTATGACAAGAGTTTTGACCTTGCAGAAAGGATCTCAGGGACCCCCGAGGGTCACAGTCCACATTCAGAAACTGCTGCTCTACCAGTTTTGAAGTTATACTGTCTGTTCATAACAAATCTGAAGTCAATCAACATCTTTACTTTCCTTCCGAAAAATGTTTTAATTCTGATCATCCCTCCCGGCTTACGTGTTCCGGTTGTTCAATATTTTAGTTCTAACTTGTTTTTTTTAAATCTCTCAATTGAGACATTATTTTATACAACCAGTATTTGTTTAAATAGAGCCAAACATTTACCTAAATTTTTGCACATCATTCCATCTTGTGCCTCAGATCTTCCGTCTGGTACTTTCTTTTGCCTAAAGTACATCTTTTAGAATGTCCTATTGTGAAGTAAATTTGTGGAAAATTATCCAAGCTTTGTTCTTCTACCTGTAATTTTCTTCTTGTTCTTGAAAGGTGCTTTAACGGGGAATAGAAGTGTAGGCTAACAGTCACTTTCTCTTAGCACATCGAAGATATTTTACCATTTCCTGGCTTCCAGAATCGTTGTTGAGAAGCCATCTGCCAGACTCATCACTGTCCCCAGATAGGAAAGCTTGCTCTTCTCTCTGGCTGCTTTTCAAATGATCTCTTTGTCTTAGGTGCACTGCAGGTTTACACTGATGTGTCTTATTTTTATTTATTTTATTTTAATTTATATTTATTTTATGACATTTTTATTTATCATGCTTGGTATTCATTGAATTTCCTAGATCTGAGGTTTCATACCTATCAAAGACTGCAAAATTCTTAGTCATTATCTCTTAAAATAGCACCTCTTTCCTATTTTGTCATCTCCTTCTGAAAACCAAGTCAGTGTGTATTAGACCTCCTCGCTGTATCCTCCATGTCTCTTACCTTGTCTTCTAGAACTTCCATCTCTGTATGTCTCTGGGCTGCATTCTAGTTCATTTATTTGAATACATCTTCCAGTTTTCTAATTTTCACCCACCAAGTCTAATCTGCTGTTTAATGTGTCCACTGTTTTTACTTTCATTTATTAAATTTTCATTTTTAAAAATTCTCCTTTCTTTTCAGATCTGCTCTGCCATTTTTTTATAGCCTCTTCTTCCTTGCTCATATTCCCTAGTCTCTCTTATTGTGAAATATACATACATCCCATATGCTCTTCAGACAATGTGACTGACACCCCTCCCAGTGAGAGGAGGCGTCTATGTTCCCACCCTTTGAATCTGGGTAGGGGCTTGTCACTACTCCAACCATTAGAACATGGTGAAAGTGATGCTTTGTGACTTCTGAGGCTGGGTCACAAGAAGGATGTAGCTTCTGCTTAGCTCTCGATCTCTGGGATGCTCACCCTTGGAACTAGCCACCATGTTGTAAGGATGCCCAAGCCACATGGTAAAGCCACATGGAGAAGAACTGGGGACCCATCAACAACCAGCATCAACTGCCAGACATCTGAGTGGGTTAGTCTTCCAGCTCCCAGCCTTCAAGACTTGCAACTGAGGCCTCAAACAACGTTGAGCAGAAATAAGCCGTCCCTGCCTTACCCTCTTTGAATTCCGGACCCACAGAATCTGTGAGCAGAATAAATGGTTGTTTTATGTCACTATGTCTGTCAGCTGTGGTGACTGGAACATTCTCCAATGTATTTCTAGTGCCTAATTTAGGTCTGGTACATAAGTGGGTGCTTAAATATTTGTTAGGTTTATAAAACATTAGCCAACATATTATTTTTCTAGAATCTACAGCCTGCTCTTCAGAAAAGTCTCATATCCCTCATTGGATGTCTTTGATCCCTGATTAGAAAAACACTCACTCTCCTGGTTGCCAGTGAATGAAAGCCCACAGTTCTGAGAGGCCTCCTGCCCTACCCAGTTCCTCAGAAAGCTAAGGGGTGTGGCTTCCCTGGGATCCACCCTCAAAGCAAATAAGGCACTCGTCAAACAAATAGTCACATTGCTCTCGGCTGTCTGGCTGCCATTTTGTTTTCTTCATAAACCGGGTATTTCGAGGACAAAAGTGATGTGGGGAGAAAAAGACATTTCCAATCGGCACCTGCATCCTACAATCTAAAAACAAAGCCAGGAGAACTGGTTTTAGGAGTGAGTGATGCCACTGCTAAAAATAATGCTTGGATGTATAATGACATTAGCAGGTAACTGGCCTGGGACCTGCAGGGCCCCAGCATCCACTGACATCTTATGGAGCTGCCTGCGTCAGTTCCTCCTCACCCCACCCCACCCAGCCTTCATTTGGGGCGTGCTGGGCCTGCTAAATCCAAGGAAAAAGGCTGGCTGAAGACTGCAAAAGCCAGGATTTAGAGCTTTCATTAAAAAGTAATAGGGACTGTCTATTTCAAGAACAGAATGTCTAAGAGTGTTGCCAAGGAGCTGCTCTCCAGGACCTGCTTAAATGGTAAATAGGAACCTGTTGTAATTAGCATATTAATAGCGGTTTGATTTCTATCGCCATATGAAAGCATCTCTCCAGCCTCTTTACAATTCTATTTGCTTCGAGGTAATTACAGGACAAAGACAGAGCCCTGGAGTGCGAAGCTCAGAAGCTCGCTTTCCCCTGTCCGGCCTCTAACCAGCTGCAGCAAAGTGTCCTGATCCAGAAAATGGAGACATGGGGACTGAGCCCACCCCGAGTGCCCATTTTAGCCCTAACATTCTTTCCACAGTTTGACAAAAAGTGAAAAATTCCCCAAAAGTGAAAGGGGAGCATTTCAGACCCCAAAAGAACCCAAATCCCAGCAGAGGGGGCTTCACACAGACCTTCTGTGAACGAACCCCCAAAACAACTTTGGCAACTCGGAAAAGCATCACTGATTTCTAAAAAACTCTCCAAACTTGATATTTCTGGCACTAAGAATTGGGAAGTGAGAAGCAAACCCAGGCCCCCAAGGGCCCGGAGGCAGGCGATGAAAGAGGGAGGATGGTACGCAGGCAGCGTTTGTCCCAGGTCTCACACTTGCCGGAGAGCTGCACAGAACCCCACACTCACCTGGGGGCTGTGAGCCCCACGCAGGGCTCTCAATCACAGCCCAGGACTCACTGCTGGGCTGCAGTGAAAAGCTTGCTGCGTGGCTCCTGTTCTAATTGCATGGGAGGGTGGAAGGATGGGGAGCTGGCTTGGTTTGTACTCAAGAACTCTTTTCAGAGGGGCTGATGGGACGGCGGGCAGTGGCTGCCTAATGGCTGCAAGCCTACACTCCAATTAAACAACAAATAAAGGTGCTCAACAATCCAATAGACCAAGCTTAGTGGGGTACTCCAGAAGCAAGTCCCAGTTCAGAGGAGGCTCTGTCCTCCCACTCAACTGCTTTCCCCTCTACAGCCTCAACCAGAAGCAGCTCACTCCACTGGAAGCAACCTGAGGAAGGACTTTTGTCCTCCACTCACATATGCCCGGCACACAGTGGGCAGCCTCCCTTATAACCAAAGCTGGCCCATGAGATAAGGATAAGCTGTTAGCTTCAGTTTCCAGAAAAGCTTCTTAAAGGTGGTTGACTCATTGAAAGGAAAACACATTTATCCTTTCCTTCTTCTCTTTTTTCCACTGCCTAGAACAAGAACGTGATGGCTGGAGCTGCATCAGCCATCCTGGACCATGAGATATCTGGTAGAGCAGAGATAGAAGGAGGCTGGGTCCCTGATGACAAAGAGCCAGTCCACAGCCTACCTCGAGACTTCATTTATGTGAGGAAAAAACATGTTGCCCAAACCATCCAGCCAATGATCACGGGTTAAGATCTGTAGGATACTCTGCCTTACCACACAAACTTCCCTTGCTAAATTCTACCACTCAGTCAAGGCCACCCCCTCTAGGAAGCTTTCCTGGATTATACCCTAGGGAGGAAATAATCACTCCTTTATTTGACCAACTGCAGTAATTTGTCTTCTAAGGTCATGGTTAAGAGTTCATTAACAGGAATCAGACAGACCAGGGTTCAAATCCAAGTTCTTCTACTTACTGGACATGCGACCTTAGGCAAATCATTTCCCCTCTTTGATCCTCAGTTTCATCAGCTGTCAGTTGTCATGGTAACATGATCATCTCCCAGAGGCTGCTGAGGCTTGTATGATAACCTAGGTAAAGCCCCTGGTGTCCCATCTGCACGCCATGAACCTGAACTTAACTTTTCCAGACTTCGGCCAATCGTGAGCCACTGTCATGATTTTTTTTACCGTCACCTTTACCATAATCTACCACCGGTAACAGTCAGCAGTCTCACAGTACTGACCTGACATTTTCCTTTAACTTGGGTTTTCATTGACCCTCCCTCCCACCTTTTTTCAACTTAGCATTTCTAAGCAATACTACTTGGGAAATTACTGCTGCTGTTACTGGGTTTTTTAATGACATACATTAAAATAAAAGCATAACCGCAGCTCATCTGTGTACCACCAAGAATCATCTCACACACTCCGAGGTGTGCCGCCAGCCTTCCTGATGTGGTGCCGATGTACTTAGGAATGAAATGCACATGTATCTCCTCTTCCCTATCAACTAGGCTCCTTGAGGACGGGGCCCGGGTTGCCCTTATCTCTAGTTAGCCCAGCATCTGGGACATACAAGGAGCCAGTTGAATATCTGCCTAATGAGTGGACGAACATTCTCTCACAGCCATATCAGAGACCTGGACAGAGAGCACAGCCAAATTCCATTCCAGCACATTCCGAGGGCAGTCCAAATTCTTCTACTGCACTGGGTGCATGTTCTATCAAAAAATTACGCACAAAAAGTGGGCTGTCAGCAGAGGAGGCTGCAATTGTTTCCACAAACATTTCCATGAACCTTAAATGGCTTTTGCTGTAACGGGATTTGATCCATTTCATGGCGCCCTGGCAAGACCTGTACTGGCCCGGGAAACGTGGCAGGAACTTCACAGAAAAGAGGCTCTTCTCTAAGCCGGACAAAGAAAACCTTCTGAAGGAGTTTTGCACCACCTCGACAGCTGAAAACACTCTTGCAAAATCTTTCCATCAGGGAGCGCAGTCCTTACGCAAACCAAGAGGTGGTGACATTCTGAAAACACCCGATCCCAAATGAAATGTGAGCTGTCACAGGGATGCAGCAGGACCCAGCTTCTGTGTTGGTGACACTTTTTGAACGATGGAAATGTTTTGATGGAAAATGGTGCACTTGGCCTGTTAAGAAGTAACCAAGTGAAATGGTTTTTGGCAAATATAAAATGTTTCGTTTGGCAAATTCATGCCAACCCAGACTGGAAGGTAACTCACTTCTCCCACCAGCTCACCTTTCCACAGCCAAATGGTGCGGTGAAAAAATGAGACAGGTGTCGGCAGTAGGCTCCTTGGGACCAGAGAGCTAAACACCCGCATACAGAAGGTGCTGGAGCTGGGGATCCCCATGAAAGAGGCGCTGCGGCTCACGGGCAGCTCATCTAGCAGGAACGGGCTTGACCGTCCAGCCCCATCTGCAGCGTGTCCTCACCCCAGTCCGGGATGAGCATGTGGTGGTCATAACTGTGACTAAGCCGGGAGAAGCAGCAGTGGGCAGTCGCAGGCCGGGCCTTGCCTGTAAATGCACGACTTAGGCAACTTCTGGGAGCCTGGTCTATAAAACGAGAATGAAAATACCACTTACCCGCAGGATTGTTGGGGGATTACATGAGTTCAGGGAGTGTGCAAAGAGCTTTGCAAGCTGCATGGCAGCCCACAGCCTCAACGGGGAGTGAAGACAGGCACACTCAGTGACAGCCAACGGCCTGTGGCCGGAACAACCCCACAGGCAGGTGGTGGTTTTGAGGATCATAGGAATCCCTGGAACTCAGAGGAAAAGGAGGTGATGGCAGCTGCATCAGTCCCGGGCAGGAGAGCTGGCTTTCACCATTCAGGCCTAACTGGGAAAAAACTTGGTTGCTGGCTGATAACCCCAGAAAGGCTGTCGCTGGGACTGCAGACAGACAGAGCCAACACCCACTTCTGACGGCCATCGTGAGCCCCAGGGAGACATGTTCTACACCTGCAGGTGCCAGCCCCGAGGACAAGGCCCTCCCATACATGTCTTGGTTGATGCTCATAGAGACCCCAGAGGTATTATTTATTTACCCGCTGGTCCCTGAAGGTGAGACTTGCCCGAGGCCATCCAGCAAGTTAGTGGAAGAGCAAAGAACTTAACCCAGTCTGGCTTTAAAGACACTGGTTTCCTTCCAGAACCATTGGAAACATACTCTAATGTCGCATCACCTTGGCCCATCTCCCAAAGCCACACCGCTGCCTTTAGCTGCCATCTTCCCTTTTGTCTGCATCTTTGTAACATGGAAGACCAGGCTTGGCCCACTACTAATCCAGCCCACCAGCTCCCTCCCTGCCTCCTTCCCACACGGACCACCACCACCCTCCTTCCTCTCTCTCTGCTTCCTAGCCACAAGCTGTTCTCTGAACACAGCAAATGGACCATGTTTAACTTCTCCGCCTAGAGCTCTTTCTCTCAAATTCTCTCTTCCGAGGGCATCGGTCGTGGAGGGAGGGAGCGGAGGATGCTGGGAGATTGCTCAACTCTCATCTCTTGCCAACATCTCAAAAAATCGGTCTCCTGCTGGTGGCTGGGACCTCAAGAGCAGCTCTCCTGTAGTGGCTGAGGGAGTGTGCAGAGCAGCCGCGTCATCTGGTCACCTCCCCCCCCCGCCCCCAGCCTCCTATTCATACCTCTCAAGCGAGCTATCTCCTTTTTTGGACACTGTCACTGTCTCGGCTGGCTGCGGATGCTCAGTCATTGTATCTCTTTACCAGGGCAGAGAAGCAAAGCAACACACGTGGTTGGCCTGCCGCCCGGTGCTATAACTTGTGATGTCTAATTCCCCTCCAGGGCACTTTCCGATGGCCTGTCTAGCCAAGCTCTCAGCCAGTTTCGCTGAAATGGGAAGCTGGCCAGCTGTGCCCAGCCGTTGTTCCACAGCCAATTCCAGAGAGGCGCATGGCATCTTCCTGCCTGAGTAACCCCATCTTCTACAGCCCGGGGCAGGCACTGGCCTGGTGCTGCCCAGCACGTTGGCCTGTCAGAATGCATTCTGCTTACATGTTCCTCGAAGTCAGCAGGGCAGGTGCTGATCCGCCCGGTCTTCAGGGACGAGGGACAGAGTTCAGACACACCTGCTTCCCGGGGCGGGGGGTGGTGGAGGGCTTTTACTCCTTTTCATTTCTAACGTACTGACTTATCTATTGCTTGCTTACTTCCCAAAAGGATCCACAGCATTTTCCAATAAAAGCATGTACTCAATTGTTCAACGAAAGACAAAGAATAGGAAATAAGCAGCAAAGAGGGAGGGGAGAATAAAACAAGCTCCCTCCAGGACGTCTGACGAAGGAGAGCTAAACTTTTGGCATAAAACTTGGCTGTGGGCTTCCCAGCGGTCTGAACAAAGAGCGATGTGGGTGGGTGGTTAGTGGCGGGGCTCAGGACTGCTCGTCAAACACACACACAACAAGCACCCCTGGAGTCCAGGCACTGAGACACGTGCTGGGACACAGGGAACTGAGATCAGCCCCTGACCTTGAGGGGCAGACACAGCGTCAGGTGGGTGAGAGAGGAGCTCACTCCTGGGTGTCACTCTGAGGTGTGGAGAAGGCGAGGGTGGACACTGGAACAGAACGGGACAAGGGACAGTGCCACCTGGCATTGCCTGGCCGTCCCCGTGGGTAAAGCTGAGGCTGCCCTCTCTGCTTGCCAAGCTGTCCTCATCTCCTAGGGAAGGTTCAGGATCCTAGGAGAGAGCCATTCCCTAATTCCGAGGCTGCTGTTGAGCAGGGCCGCCACCCTATTTGCCCGGCAAGTAGTGACTTAGCTCCAAGGCAAGATGTGAGGAGGCCAGGAACCAAGAACGGGTCCCTTCAGGCCACAGGCCCAGAACTGCTCCTACCCCACGCCCCACGCATGAGATGCCACTGCTGGGGCCTTCCAGGCTCCTCAGCTAAGGCAGCTCCTGGGCCCACAGTGTTTGGCCACTAAGCCAGCAGGATCGGGTCCCTCCCTGCTTCCTGCCATCCTCAGCCTTCAGTCTGCCCTGTCCACTCCTCTGTGGAGCCTCAGTTTCCCTACCCGCAAAGTGAGCGAGCGAGGCTAGCACAATACTGAGGTCTTCCAGCTCCGACAGTCCAGGAGGAATCTCAACTTGTTAGTAGGAAAACTGGACTAGAACTCAGATCTCCAGCTCCTGGCACTGCCACTTGGTCAGCACTCAAAGACTCACCAAATAAAGGAATGAAGGAGCCACCAGGACAGATGTTAAGTTTGGTGGCTGCCGGGAGGGGCCGAGCGTTACTCTCTGCTGCAAACCAAGGTGGCGGAGACCAGAGCTGCCCCTGGGCAGACTCTCCACTCCCTACAAGGCCTGATGACCCACACTGCCCACTCAGCAGGAGGCAGGAGTGGCAGCAGCTTGTCCATCCCCCTGCCCACTTGCTGCCCGCTGGACCCTCGGGGTTGGGCTTTCGTACTTCGGCCCCAAGCCAGTCCCTTCTCTCTGAGCCTCAGCTGTGTCGTCACAAAATGGAGGTGAGGGTTTCTGTACAACTCGCCAGTGCAGTAAGAACAAGGAGGGCCTCTGTCCCCACTGCACAGGTGAGTAAACTGACGCTTTGGGAGGGGATATATGGGAACTCTCATTTCTTCCTGCTCATTTTCCCCACAAGCCTAGAACTGCTCTAAAAATAAAGTCTTTTCATTGAAAACAAAAGAAAACCAAAACTGAGGCTTAGAGAGGTAGAGTTGAGTGGCTTAAGGCATGTGGCTGGGAACGAGGGGCCGTGTGGAACAGGAACATCCAGCCCCTGGCCTGGGACACTCTCCACTACCCTCCACTGCCTTCCCCTGGAGTTTTGTCTCCCGGTCAGAGTCGCTTCCCCTGAGATCTACTGAGGTGGGAGAGAGAGAAGACAGCCAGCAGCCTGCCTTCAGGGTTCTTCGTGTGATAATGGGGAAACACACACACACACACACACACACACACACACACACGCACGCACATAATACAACAATGGGTCACAAATGCTAGGCTGAGGAAGACAATCTGTGTCCCATCAACAACAGGGAATCCCTGCGGACTGTTCCGGAAGGCCGGAGGGAGACAAGGCAGACAAACCTGGTCTCCCTCAGATGAGCCAGAGGCCGGCTGTACCTCAGCCCTCAGGACTGAGCAGTCAACCAAAATGAAACAGTTCCCAGAAATCTTAACCACGTCTTGATTCTGAGGTGGGGCGAATGAATCCAACAGACAGCGCAGCAAATCAGTCCAGTCTCTGCAAGACTGCCCTCCTTCCAGTCCTGGGAGGAAGATTCTAGCCAACACCCCTATTCAAGCCTGAGAGGAGGGTGGCCAGCTCCGTCCTCCAAGGCACTGTTGTTGGGAGAAAACAACAAGAGAGAACAGCTCATTCTATTGGGCTTTCTGGTGAACTGGTTTCTCCAGTGGCCTCTGCCAGGGCCTGGGGTCCAGGTGAGCAGGGAGGACCCCTAGGCCCTGTGAGGTCTTCCCAGCAGGGCCCAGGAGCCAGCCAGCCCTCTAATGGCATTCTGACGGTCAGCCAGGTGGCATGTCAGCTGGTGGAGGTGCCCCAGCCTTACAGCCCAGCCCACGTGTCTCAGAGACCTCAGGCCACTCCCGGAGCGGAGCAGCCAGAGCTGTCAGGCTCCACGGACAGGCCCAAGGCTTGATTACAACGCCCACATGCGGGAAGCCAGCTCCAACAGGAGTGTTCGCCTCCCATAGACCCAGCTCCATTGGGCTTTTTCCTTTCTGTCCCAGGAAATGATAAATGTGACCCAGGAGGTCACAGTCAGGAAACAACTGAGCAAATGTGGAGGTGTGACGATGGGGCTGCCAGGCTGGGGGTGAGCTACATGGGATCCAGGGAAGAGCTGCCCACAGCTGTGCCGGTGTGCTCCAGAAGACCTCTCTTCAGGTCCCTCCAGGTGATGCCCTCTCGTCATTCACTCCCCTGCTTCCCTCCCTCACTGATTCCCTGGCTGGCTCATTGGTTTTGTGGATACCTTCTCAGCTCCCACAGAGGTGCAGGCACTGGAGGAGGGGCCAGGCGTACAAAGGTGGTGAGGGCATCACACACCTTCTAGGACAACAGACATCTGGAGGCTAGTTCTGTTCCCCGTGGGGTGGGGGTGAGGGTGTTATTTTGGGCAGGGGTCCATTGACACTGGAGGCAGGACCTGGCCAGGTGGAGAGGAGGACAGCAGCTTCAGTGTGACCAAAGGACTAGAAGCAGGAAGAACCTACTTACTGAGCTTGCCTGGATGCTCAGCACTGGGCAGCGGCTTCCAAACATTTAAACCTCCCAGTCTGAAAGCGGGTGATGTGGTCCCCATAGCTACGGGCGGAGGACTGGCGCTCGGACAGGCCCTGAGGCTAACTCTGCTTCTCAGAGTGTGTGACCTTGGGCAAGGGGCCTCACTGCTACAAACCCCGATTGCCTTATTTGCCAAATGAGCCTAAAAAGAGCACCTCCCTCTTAGGGCTATGGGGTGGATGTAAAGAGGTAATGCAAAGTGCTGGCTGCGGTGTCTGGCACCTAGTAAAAACCTGATCAAACATACCAGTATCATTATCATTTTTGTTGTGTATCTACAACTCAGAGAAGTTAAGCTAAATGCCCAGAGTCACACAGTTCCTAGTAGCAGGGCAAGGAATTGACGCTGTGACTTGAAGGGCCACACTGTTAACCGCCAAGCTGGTAGAGGTTTACCCCAGGGCATGAGAAGCCTGAAGGCGTCCAGGGTGGTGAGTTATGGGGAGAGGCCCTCTCTGGGTAGCTTCATATAGCAAGTCAGAGACCAAGTTTAGTCGGGCAGAGATCAGGCCGGGTCAGAGGCCCTGCCCGTGGGTTAGGTGGTTTGGACTCTGTCCCATGGGCAGTGGATGGGCCATTCACACCGGCTAGGAGTTTTAACTTTCATGTCTTCAGAAAAGTTAAGAAGCTTCTGAGTGCTACAAACAGCAAACAGAAAGGCCAGATTGAATGGGCAGGAAGGAAAAAGAAACCAGCCAGAAACAGGATCAATAAAGAGGCTACTGCACCAGTCCAAGCAGGGTGATAAGTGTCAAGGCAGTAGGATGGAGAAGAGGGAGCAGATCCACTAATTGCGGACGGGAGGTTTCTACCTGATGAGGCTGATAAAGCCACTGCAGGAAATGGGATTCTGGGAGCGTGCAGGCTGGGGGTGGGTGGAAAGTCAACACAGCAGCAGGCAAGCTCAGCTGAGAATGATTCCTTTGGGGTTAAAGCCAAATGGGGACAGAGGGTGGCAAAAGCCCCAAGAGAATGAGTCTCAGGGCTGGCTGGCCAGAGGAGGCAGCCAAGGGACCACTGGGGGTAGGGAGTTCCTTCTGCACATCATACCCACATTCTGACCCCCGAGTCAGCTCGAGTCTGCAAGCCCCACCTGCCACATGCCTCAGATTATCTCTCGGCCGGGCTCCGGGCACAGCATAGGCAAAGAGATGGCCAGTGTGACATTAATGCCCATCTGCCACCTCCCAAAATGCCCTGCAGCCAGGAGGGAGAGAGGACAGGCAGCAGGGGAGCAAGAAACTACCCCCAAAAAGAGGCGGGAAGAGACAGGCAGGCAGTGGGAAAAGCTGCCAGCTTGGAGACCTCACAGGTGATGTGAAAGGCATCCTGTGACCAGCATCACAGAGAGAAACCTGCCCGCAGCCTGGTGCTGCAGGTGAGAGAAGCTCCAGCCGCCCCTGCCTCCTGCCTGAGCCACGGTGTAGCATCATCAGAAGTAGAGGCCATTTATGGTACATTCCAGGTCCTGAGCTGGGTACCTGAGAAACACTGTGTCATTTCTCCCTGGCACACAGTAGGTAAATGATAAATATCTGGAGAAAAAGTGAAGGAATCTCATATCGCCTGGGAGGCCAAGCCTGCTCTGTCCACGGCCTCTCTTCGCTCTCTTGTCACCCTGAGGACAGCTAGAGGGGCTATCAGAGATGAACATGCAGCGGCTCCCTACTACCTGCAGGATACAGACCTAACCTTTCAGGCTGATGGCATGGATGGTGTCATGGCCAACACAGTGGAAATCCACAGCCAGCACGGCCTTGACTCAGGCCCAGGTTTGAATCCAGGCTCTGCTTCTTCCAGAGATCTGTAACCTGGAGCAATTTACTAATTTCTCTGAACCTTTGCATCTCCCTCCATAAAACAGGGGTTAGAGAAATGGCATCTGGCCCATAGGGTTCTGTAACAATTCAATGAGCATGTGTTTGTAAAGCAAGTAGCCCAATGCCTAGCGACAGAAGTGCCCAGGAAATGCTTGCTGGTTGGAGGATGCTGATGATGCTGAACCTGCTGCTGACCCCAAAAATCCTTTCTTTCTCCCACCTACTCAACTGGAACCTTCCCATCCCACATGGATGTCTCTGCCCTCTTCCCACCCCACCTCTGGGCACTTAGGACTGAGGATGGACATTTGACAGCTGCCCTCTTTCACATGGCTGTTACCCAGTGTCACGTGTGTGTTTTCTGCCCTGTCTCCCAACTAGGAACAGCTCCCTAAGGGATGGAGCTGGCCTCCCATACCCCCTTGGGACCCTCTGCCGGGCCTTGCCCAGAGTGAAAGCTGAACAGGGCTTCGTGGATGGGACTGGCTCTGTGTGTCTGACATGGTGGAGGCCCCTCCTGCCTGGAGGCAGAGGGATGGATGAGATGCCCTTTAAGGGGGCAAGGGGGTACCATCCAGAACTAGAAATCTGCTGGCAGTTAGTAAACAGAGATGTGAGGGATGGGAGTGGGGCTAAGGGAAAAGGCTTATATTCATGTTACATAAAGGAAATAAATGTGGCCCAGCCTATGTTGCCAAGAGCCACTCCTGAAAGCAGCTCCCCACCACCTGGCAGCTCCCCGGAGCCCTGGCACAGAGTAAGGGCTTAACAGATGAATGAATGAATGAATGAACAGATAAACTTAAAACCAGCAGGACCTGGCAACCACCTGGGGGAATCAAGAAACAAAGCTCTGAGCCGACGGGGACTGTTGACAAAGTGACGGTGCAGAGGAAAGTGACAATGAGGCAGCTGCCCATGAGCATTCACTGTGGGCCAGGCCCTGCACAGACCCTCCCCCACTCATTCCTTCATTTCATCCTTGTGACCCTCCTGTTCTCATTTTGCAGAGACTGAGACTGAGGATTAGACAGGTTAAATGAGTTGCCCAAAGTCATCGTCAGGAAGGAACAGAGCCTAGCTCAAACCCAGGTCCATCTAATGCCAGAATTCATGCTCATCACTGTGGTCTCCATCCCAGACTGGCTGAGCTGGGTTAGCACCTCAAGAGCTTTGTCCCAGGGGACCTGCCTGAGGCATAAGCACAGTGCCTACAGTTGCCGGGCACTCCCAGGGTTGCTGACATCTAAGCCTGATGATGGAGTCTTTTGGCAAAGCTATTCTCACACCTTGCTCTGCCCCAAGCTGGGCTCAGCCAAAGGCTTGGAGCAGCATCACCTCTGTGCCCATCTCTGCCCACCAGTCAAGCTCTAATAGCCAGAAGGGCCAGTGTGACTGCTGTGTTGGCAGCATGCACCCTTCCCTCGCTGCCCCTTGAGTCAATTGGGGACCCAGAAGGGGACAGAAAAGGAGGTCACTGTCCTGAGGGGGTATAACTGGATATCTCTGCCCTGAACCATTTCTGATAAAAGCAGCTACTTCAGAATTGACAAAGCAAAGACTGTTCTCCATACACACTTTCAGGGCCTTTTAAAAGAACTCACAGAGAAAAATAAGACACATCAGCAATCATTCCAGGATCTGGGAAGATTAAGACAAAAATATCTGAGCAAGGAAAGAAAATCAAGATTCTGAAAGGGCTGGTGCAGCGTAGACACCTGTGTTGGGTGCTGGGGAAGCAGTGCCCAGCAGACCCAGGCTCTACCTGTTGTCAAGCAGAGGACGGACGCCATTCCTCAGACTGCCACAGGGTGAGGACCAAACCCAACCAGGTGAGGTCACCAGGAGAGGCTTCCTGGAGGAAGCGACCTGCAAGGCAGGGGCCCGAGGTTGAGTCGATTACCAGGCAGAGTTAGGGAAGTGGGCCCAGCAAAGCCTGGAGAAGTGAGGAAATATGAAGGAAGGGCTGAGTCGGGACGGGCAGGAGGAGGTGAAGCTGGAGCAGTAAACAATGACAGGTCAGGCAGGGCCTGGTTAGCTTTGCTAAGACCTCTGGCTCCATCTTGACTGCAATGGAAAGCTCCTGAAGCCGGGGATGGCATGATCAGATGGACATTTTACAAAGGGCCTCCTGCTGCTGCATGGAGCTTGGCTGGAAACAGATGAGCTCGGAGGGAGTCTAGAGCGACACAGGAGTTCAGGCAGCAGAGGGTGGTAGCCGGATGAGGGGAACGGTGGGGATGGGGACAGAGGGGTCCCCTCAAGACATATTATGGAGGCCAAGTTGCCTGGACTTGGAGAGGGATTGGCTCTGAGCGCTGGGCAGAGGGAAAGAGCAGGGGGTGGGGTGCCGGGGCAGAGGGCAAGGGGGCTCCCAGGCCTCTCACAGCCAGAGGGAGGATGGTGATTTTCACTAAGACCAGACACAGGGCTGGCTTTAGAAGGAAGGGTCAGAGCTCACCAGGAAGACAGGAAAATGGCTTCAGCCATTTGTCCAAAAGAAGAGTCACACGACCACATCGAAAATGGCCAGCAACTACTTGCAGAGTACTTCACAAAGCACTTTCCGCCAGTGACTCCTTTGGCCACTGGGTCATCCACTAAGGTAGGGATGACTGGATCCCCATTTTAAAGATGAGCAAATCGAGGTTAAGTGACTTTCCAAAGGCCACAAAATCAAGGGGGGGCACGAGAACTGAAGTCTTCTGCCTCCCAGTCCGGTGCGGATTCTGCAAGCACGTATTTCCATTTAAAATGACATCTGACTTCTGGGCAGGGTGGCAAACGACAGGTGGTGCAATCCGCTCTCTAGAAGCAGAACAAACGATGAAAGGGCCACAGACCGAAATGTTAACGGTGGTTAACTCATTGGCCATTTTTATTTTCCTCTTTTTAGATTATACTTTGAAAATTTCATCAATGAATGTATATTATTTTTATAAAGAAAGAAAGAACTAAAATATAATTTAAAAAGTAACTTTTCCCCCCAGTCTGTGGTGGCTTTATTGGGGGTCCTCCCTTTCCACTGTTTACTGCGAGTCAGGGATGGGGAAGAGGAGAAGGCGGGGTGCGGGGCTGACTGGAATATAAACATTAATGAGTAGCATCTGAGCATAAGTCTTTGACGGGGAGGAGGAACACTGATGTCCATTAATGGGGGGCAAGTGTCATTACAGGGGGAGAGTCAGCTGCCATTAACGGCACAGAGACATATGTGATGCCAACCATGAGGGCTGGGAGGAGAACGAGGAGCGGAAGGAGGATGTGACCAAGGGCATCTGTTCTAAAGATACTGTGGCGGTTTCTCATGCTGCAGGGTCCCATAAGTCTCCTGGTTCAGGGTACTCAAGCCCGTGTAAATGTCATCTGATTTCTCATCGGGGGCTATGGCTGCCTTCAGCACCTGGCTCTTGAGTCGACAGTAGAGCAGGATGAGGACAAAACCACACAAAAACAGGATAGCATCCAGGATACAGCAGAGCTGATGCTCTTCCAGGGCCGCTGCTTGTTCAACCAAAAGGAGTGAGAGCAAGACCACTGCTGGCATCCTCTCGGGCAAGTGGCTGAGGGGCCGTGAGCTCGGGATCAGACGCTGAGCTGGCACCACACAGCTGTGCTCGGTGAGTGGCTCCCTGACCAAGAAAAAGTAATTTTTAAAGACGATGCAAGGACAGCACAACCGTGAAACAGAAAAAACAAACAAAGAACAGCACTCAAAATGTTTCCTGATTTTGCATTTTCCTTTCTAACACTGGAAAGTGCCACGGCTAGAAGTCAACAGGAGCTCTTTAGGGGATAAATTTTTTGTTGTTCTTTGGTTGGTTTTTTTGTTGTTTTAATTTGAAAAGTTTACATTGGCCCCAAATATCCTCCACTCACATTTTTTCTTCTTACTCTCTCTTGGGTGCTTGCTCCAGGTACTCAGAACAAGGGGTGTTTAATGTACTGAGGCAGACACTGGGAGAGATGCCGCCAAGGTGTTGCTGAGCAGACGAAGCCCGGGAAATAAATTCCGTAGAGTCTGGGCAGAGACCATTAAAAGTGTTGTCCTAGCGTCTCTTTATGGGGCAGAACTCTGTCATGCTCAGGCTGCTGCGGGTCGGCTGGCCTCTTGTGCTGGTTTGAGGTCCCTGTTGCTGCATAAACCAGCTTGTTTTTCCCCTGTTTTCGGCGACAGGCCTTGAAACAGACAGAAAAGCCCTTCTCATGCCTGCGACGGCAGTGAATCAGGGCTGGCAAGCAGGGCAGAGGCGCTCACCAAACCTCGCTTGCTTTGTCCATCAGCCGCACATTTCAGGTTAATGGCGTCTGCAGACACAAACGCGAGCTGGAAACAGAACATTCCAGAGGAAGCCACTGCACACGCTGTCAGGTTTAGCTAAATGAGTGTGGCCTTCAAAAAGACTGTGGGCTTCTCACCTCTGAGCCAGAGATCGCAATGCCACAATGAAATACAAAGATGTTTGTCGGCTAAATGTAATGACAAAAACTAGGGGAAAAAAACCAGTACAATATATACACATGATAGAGATGAAGCCTTTAAAAATCAGGCTCAGGGGCTGACCCTGTGGCCAAGTGGTTAAAGTTCCACATGCTCTGCTTTGGCGGCCTGGGTTCAAGGGTTTGAATCTCAGGCATGGACCTACTCTACTCATCAGCCATGCTGTGGAGACATACCATATACAAAATAGAGGAAGAATGGCACAGATCCTAGCTCAAGGCTAATCTTCCTCAAGAGAAAAAGAGAAGAAGAAGAAGATTGGCAACAGATGTTAGCTCAGGGGTAAATCCTCCTCACCAAAAAAAAAAAGAAAAAACAAAATCAGGTTCATGCTGGGCTCATGGGTAAGGGTTTAATTTCAAGATAGTTTAAAGGAAGAATCTGCCTAAAGGAAGCAAATAAGCCATAGGTGGGGATAGCTTGGGGGCCTAGACCAATGCTGGGTGGAGGGCAACAGGCTAGTTCCCCATCGTCCACACGTCTTCTCACTCACCCAGAGAAGGGTAGCCCATGAGAGCAGGAATTTCCGTGTTTTGTCCGCTGGTGTCTCCCCAGTGCCTGACGCTCAGTACATACGCATCAAATGGAAACACATAAATCATGTTTACGGAGAATTTCAATGACGTGGGAAAATATTTTTGAAATTATATTAAGTAAAAAGTTAAGAAACAAAACCCTAGGCATGTGCACAGGGGAAAAGCTTAGAAGGAATCACATGAAAGCTTTGAACTGTGGCTACAGCTGAGGGGTAAAACTATGGGTGGCTTTTCGTTAAAATTTTCTGTATGTTTTCTAGCAAAATAATTTACCAATTATGATGATGATGACTTGAACAATAACAACAACAACGAAAAGAGGGGATGAAAAAGCACCATGCAACATGGTTTGGAAAGCAGTCAATCCTCCCGGAGACATTCCCATGGCCTGTGGGGAGCAGGCAGCCGGCGCCTGCAGGGTGAACCCTGAGTCAGGTTCAGGAGGGAGGGAAAGGGCCACCCCCAGACCTGGTGGGAACCAGCAACCTCTGGCCCTCGAACTTGACCTCCACAGACCATGTGAGAAGGTGGGTATTGGGGGTTGAACTGTGTCCCCCAAAACAGATCTGATGAAGTCCTAACCCCTAGTAGCTCAGAATGTGATCTTATTTGGAAATAGGGTTTGTACAGAGGTAACTGAGGTAAAATGAGGTCATTGGGGTGGACCCTGATCCAATATGATGGGTGTCCTTATGAAAACGGGACATTTAGACACAGACACACACACGCTGGGAGAAGCCCACGTGAAGATGAAGAGAGAGATCGAAGGGAATGCTTCTACAAGCCAAGAAATGCTAAAGAGTGGAAGCAATCCACCGGAAGCCAGGAGAGAGGTATGGAATGGATGCTCCGTCACAGCCCTCAGAAGGAACCAACCCTGCCAACACCTTGATCTTGGACTTCCAGCCTCCAGAACTCTGAGATGACAAATTTCTGTTGTTCAGGCCACCCAGCCTATGGCCCTTCGTTAAGGCAGCCCGAGGAGACTACGACAGTGGGGGAAAGGCTGCCTGGAAATCAGGTCACAGGGAGACCTTGGCAAGCCACTTGTTCTCTGGGACTCAATTTACTTACCTAGAAAAGGGGAGACCTGGACTAGAGCAGAGGGTTTCAAACCTCGTTTTAACCCTGGAATAAAATCTCACACAGAAGCTCAAATACAAAATGTTAAAGAAACCCTGACCAGGTAGCCTGCTCTGGCTCTCTCGTGCTCCCTGCAGAGCTGCCTTTGAAAACCACAATTCTAGATTCTCTTATAAAGTCCCCATCAGTGCCCCATCCTAAGAAGCTCCAGACTCGAAACCCACTGCCTAGCATCACTGAGCAGCTCGCACGCACTCAAGCTTGTGCCAGGCACCGGGGACCGGCCCCTTGCCTTCAAGTGGCTCCTGATGGTGGAGAGGTGAGACTAATGCCCAGAAAATAGCGGACAGACAAGCCAGGCCGCCCTCTCCCTCCTGAGAGCTACAGCTGCAAACAGGTCACCTGATGCTCTAAATCCAACACGTCTAAATTTATCTCACCCTCCAAGGACAAGCAGATGCTGTGCCTTATCGGATCATGGCAAGTGGCAGAACGACAGACGTGACGCGCCCTTATCACCCCAAGGACGGGAATGACGTCTGAAGAAAGACTTGGTTTCTCTGACAATGAAATCAAGAGCTTGCATGCCAGCCTGGCAGGCGTGAAGGGCACTGGGTCATGCAGGACCTCAGGTGGGGTGGGACTTAGCCCAGGAGCCCAAATTCCTTTCCAGATCCTGATCTGTGCCTGGCAATGTCAGGGGACCAGTGGTCCTTGAGGAGGGGTGAGCAGACAGGGAGGCTGTTTGCATCACAAACCTACCACATTTCCGGGGAGGACCCAAGGCACCCCATTCCACTCACTGAGCACTGACGGTGTGCAGGCAGGAGACCACTGGGGGATGGATTACAGAGCCACTGCTGGTCAGAGAGCAGAGCTGAGCAGCCTAGGAAGAGGCTGAAGACGCCAGGGACGGGGGCCAGGGTCACACTGAGCTGACTCAGGCCTGGGCTTCCCTCCAAACCCCTGCCATCCATCCTGTTGGAGCCCACAGGCTCATCAGGGGACACAAAGTCAACAAGAAAGAGGAAAATGGTGTCGTTATCCCTACTGCCCCACTGTGGAAGCAGGCAGCGGATCCGACTGTATTCATTCAACTTTTAATTATACAAATAACACGCCAATTCATTCTCTTTTTAAAAAACCAGCTTGCAGACAAAGCTAATGTCCCCTCTGACCTGCATACCTTCCCCAGGGGTAACAATTGTTAGGACTCTGGGGTGAAACCTTCCAGAACATCCATATGTCCTTGCAAAGAAACCCATCAGGCCAGGGGTCTGGGTAGAATGCGACATCATGGGCTTCCTGAGGTGTGCTGTGGGGACAAGGGAAGGAAGGAGGGCTGAGGGCTGCAGGAATCAGGGTGGGCCTCTAGGAAGGGGAGGCTGAAGGCAGGGGCTCAAGGAAAGGTAGGATTCAGATGACCTCAAGTCAGGGGTCCCTGGTGCATTGGACCCACGTGATGTGAACACCAACACAGCTAGCCTCATTCATCCTTTGCAGCCAATTCAGCTTCTATGGGAAACTGAAGCCCTCCCAAAGCATCCTCAACCTTTGCCCTCATACCACCAGCCCCATGATGATGATGACAACGATGGAGTGTGCTTGGCACTCTGCTGGCCCTCCCAACAGTTCTACCAGGTTGAGATTAGTGTCTTCCTTTTATAGACAAGGAAACTGCAGCCCAGAGAAATTAAGAACCTTGCCTAACGTCACACAGCCGGGAGTAAGCAGAGCTACCCTTTGACATTAGTGCCAATGACTGAGGTCCTTCCATAAGACTGCACTGCTACTGGGCCAATGGTACAGCTCTTGTGCCTGCAACAATGCCTAGCACATAGTAGGGACTCAACTAATATTGGTAGGCTGATTTCTTGTTTAAAGATCATGAGCAATGCTGAATGAAGAATCAAGTAGTTGGCTAATTCGAGGCAGTCTTCACATTATTACAGTTTGGGGTTTGTTCTTTAATGTTAAGATACTACATTTTCTTCTAGGAATCTGCCACAGCTTAGAGCTTCTGCTCCTGGAAAGAGTTAAGGCTTTGGCAAGAGGCTCTCCCATAAGGCATACGAGATCTCCCCTGGCCCGTCTGTCCGCGAGGGCATGGGGCAGCGCAGCAGCCACTCTGTGAGAAGCCTCCTCATAAACGTCAGTCCCGCCAGGGATGGGGGGGGGGGGGGGGGGCCTTGATTTATTATATAGCTTTTGGACAGTTCCTACAGAAATATTGCCAAACAGTGGAATAATCAAGTCTTTCATTCAAGCCCCCTCATACTATTTTTTTTAATGAAAGAATAAAGTACGCAATGAGCCTGAGCTAAATAAATAAAAATGCCACACTTTTGCCCAACAGAACTTTCTGCGTCACTGAGAAATATTTGCAGACCTCAACAATCTTTTATCTTCACAATGACATTTCTGCCTTCCAAGTTTTGGGCATTCTGAGAACTTCTTTGACTTGGGCCCTCTAATTATCTTACATGAACAATTAGCTTATTAACTAATAATG